CTTAGCAGACATGTATGCTACGTCTCTGGGTGTTTAGGCTTCTCTTTGCTACTTTGTGACCCTTTTGCAACCCGATATACTCTGTGGATTATTTAGACTGTAAGGCGTTAAGTGGCTGCTTCTTCTTTTCCATCATGTCCCTAACAAACGCCAAATTTTCACTGGTTTTCATGGCTATTCACACACATACATCCTTCACAAAATGTGCTAACAAAATAAACTGTCTGTGCTCTTGAACATGGATAAAAAGAAAAATATTTAAAAGTCAGATTTTTATTTTTTTAATTTAGTGACTAGATGATGCTTATCTTTCAGACTTGGGAGAGCCTTGCTACAGATGTATATAATTTTTTTCAGCAAATATATGTGAATGTTTAATTCACCTGACTCAGTGATAAACGTGACTTGCCTTTTTCTCAGCATGATCCCATGAGAAGCTGTTGAAAGCAGCAGCGTGGTTGCTGCTCTAGGCTGCTCCTGGTGCCCTGTGTGTTGCTCTGCCGCTCGCTGTCAGGGGCCGAGCCTGCAGCTCCCCCAGCACCCTGGCTGAACTCCAGCCTGAGGGAACTCCTGTTCCACAGGGCTTGCAAGATGCCAGGAGCAGCCCGAGCTCCAGGGACAGTTTAAAGCACAAGATGCACAAGGGCTCTCTGCTGACCTGCTCTTCCCACAAGGGTGGGTGGAAGCCCAGAGACCGCCACAGCCATCACACACACCCCAACCTTGGCATGTGCACTGGGGGTGCTGGGCTCCTCTCCCTGCACTTTCTGCACCTCCAAGTTTTGTGAAATGCTTGTCCTAAATCTCTGTGTAGGGATCTCAGGCTTTAGCAAAGCAGGCATTCGTCAGTGTTTCATCAGAATGATGTGCAGGACCAGCTCCATTCTTCCAAGATCCAGGAAAAAGGACACAGAGTAAAACCAGTGCTTTTACTGCTCCACCTGCCCTGTGTAAGCACCTTGTCCTGGTATTTTGTTGCTCCTTTGGGGAAGAAAAAAAGTGTCCTGCAGAAAAGACTGGCAAAATGGTAGCATGAACTGTGAATTTCCAGTTCCAGAGTCTCTCTTTAAAATCTGGCTCCACACACTGAATCATCCTTGCACCTGGGCATCCATGATGCAGGATATTTGCTGGCAGAAGTTGCAGCAGGAGGGCCATGGAGGAGCTTTGGGCTGTCACATCCGTGGTGGCTGCAGTGTCTCTCTCTTCAGCCAAGGTGTGCTGCCTGCTGGTGGCGTGAGTGGGTGTGGTGCAGGATGGGCACTGTGGGCACAGCCTGCTCCCTGTTGTGTGTTACAGGATACAAGTGCCCCTTCCCAGAGAGGGAGTGAAACGGGCACAGCTGCACATCCCTGCTGTCCTTGCCTGGTTTTTATCTGACAGACACACAGAAGTCTCATCACACATTTAGATAGGATCTCTAATTCCCTTTATGATCACAAAAAGGGGGAAGAATTTTCCTCAGGACTGAGCCATGGTTGGGGGAGCTTTACTTACCCCAGGTTTAGATGTTCCCAACTCTGGGCTCTTGACAGTTACAAGAAAGGATTTGCGGTTGGAAATCTTGGCCAGCAGTGAGCAGAAGGCAGTTTCTCTAATGACATCTGTTTTTTATTGAAACTTAAGCTTTTCAGTTCAATTTTTCTCCTCACCTCTTCAGGAGCCACTTCAGCCCCAGGGCTCTGGAGCATGGGCTGAGTCACAAGATCAAATATGAAGAATCTCCTGACATTTTACATCCTCAAAGCACTTTCTGGTAAAGTCCCCACATGCTTCACGCCCATGGGCAGTGCCCAGCTGCCCGTGGCACCCATGCTCGACCATGAGCACCAGGCAGGCAGGCAGTGCTGCCAGGAAAGTGCTGCCAGCGTTGCAGAGCAGCAGCTCTGGAAAAGTGGAGGGGAGAGAAATCCAGCTTCTCTCTCAGTCCCATCATCAGTTGCCATCAATCTGCACAGTGTGCCCTGTACATTTGGACAGCAGGCCTAGGAACATCATCCTCACCCTTCCATGTGGCTTTTTGGGATTCTGGTTGTTTCATGGTGCTCACAGGGGTGGCTGAAGACTATAGGTGCAGTGCCATAGGTGACACTAATTCCTGAAGAATCAAGGTTTCACCTCAAAAGGTATAAACAATGCAAGATCTTCAGCCCAGCAAAAGATCAGTCCCACTCCCCATGTGGCCTTGTTCTTCCTCCAGTGGGATTTTAATTAATGAACAACTCCAGACAGCACCACTACCTGGCTCCATTTGCCAGTGGTCTGGATGGGATGTGATGTTCCTGGTTTAACTTGGAACTCCGTCCCAGCCTGCCTGAACACATCAGTCCAGGCAAGCCCAGCATGAGCCTTCAGAGGGTTTCAAGAAATAGCAGTGTCCTGGCCCTGCTGCAGGAGCAGCTGAGGGGAGTGAGAGCCATGGCAGATGCTCCAGCCTCTCTCTCCGGGCTCCTGCCAAGCCTTGGTTGTCAAGTTTCTCAGCTGGTGGTGCTATAGCACAGGGAGACATTGTACAGGAATTGCCTGTACTCTTTGGAAAAATGAAATTTTAAAGGGAAACCTGCCAGTGACTTTTTTTCCCCTCCAGAAAAGGACAGAGATTTCTGATAGAAGAAGAGATGCACGAAGAACAAAGCTTGGCTCACCTTGAGGAAGACACATCTCTCCAAAAGGAATAAATAAGCCTGTGGGTCCCAAAGCCTCAATATGAAATCCTAAATGAAATACATTTCCTGTCTGCTTATGACAGGCAGTTTTCCATGCTCTTATGGCCAATATTTTTCCAGATTCAGATGTTGGATTAAGGCTGTTTTTTATGGAGAGTAATGTACTGGAAAGCACGGAGCTGATCTGATTCTCGGTGAGGGACTGGCCCTACCAGCCTGCGGATCCCACAAGCTCATCCCTGCGCTTTGCAGAAGGGCATTTTCAAGAAAAACACCCCGGGATCCGAGAGTGGGGTCGGACGGAGGCCGGGGCAGGGCAGG